TTCCTGTCGACGGAATTGTAAACAAACTCTTGAGACGTGACGTCACTATCTTATCAAAGGCATTTTATCAAGTCAGACGTAGATAACAGCAGTAACTGTAGATGAATGTTGATAGCAAAATGCTTACGTTTCGTCTAGACTTGGCTTGCAGGAATGTCTTCTCGGCAACTATTCTTATAGAGATGCAGCCTGTAGGCTACTGGAAGCGTGTATTGTTCCATACTTAGTGTAAATATTTCGGGGTAATATTTACAGTTTAATTTAGTTTAATTTAGTTTCTTTAGAGTTTCAGTTTAATTTAGTATTTTACTTTTATTTTCCGTTTACAAGTTATATTCCATTGTTACAGACAATTGGAATAGTCCGGAATAGAGCGTACATTCAGACATTTCACTCCGAATCATAATGCTAGATAATAATCAAAATCAACACTTTAATAGTATGAGGTCGCACACTAGGCTACAAATTGTAAATCTAGTTCGTAAATCAGATTTAGTGTTATGATAGTGTGGTTCAATAAACAAACCAATATTGCATGGTATTTTAGAGATTGTATATTTTTACGTTCAGCTTTGAGGACACATTTGGCTACAGTTTTAAAAACCTTCGCGAACTTGAGCACTTCGCGTTCATTTCTGTAGCCAGTTGGACAAATAGGGATAACTTTAGTCATACAAATTATTTCCACGTATGAAATAAATATAGATAGATTTATATTTCCGTCTGCCCTGCACCAGCTACATCATCTCTATAGCATTTATTATTACAAAAACAAAATATTTACGAATCAGATTTTTAAAAAGTTATTAAATCACGTTTAGAATTGGTATCTTCTTAAGTTCTCATATTAGATGAAAAAATCATCTTAAGAAAAATATATAGGCTACTAACTACGACTAATTAGAAAATGCAATTTAGCCACTCCCATATTTAACTGTAGTTATTATTTCCTTAAACCTGCAGAATGGGCTTAAAATATTCATCTAAAATTCTACCAGAGCGACCATTCATATTTATATCTTTTAACCTTGTAAACGATAAGTGAGGATTGAAAGTGACGAATTGTATAATATCTTTCCAATAAATCCCAACAAATCTCTTTTAAAAGGGTAAGGGATGAAATACCTTGACAACGGTGTTCGAAAATCCCGACACATGACGGCTCTAAAGCCTTTTTAACGACTTCCCATACCTGTCAGATTTGGTTTAAAAAGTACTCAAGTTAATTGGAAAATCCTTTGTAAGAAATTGTTTGATCCATTGTCATAGGTTTATACTGAATAAGATTCAACGAATAATTCAGTAAATCGTATTTTAGCATAACTCAATGATTTGATTACGGTGTAGAATATACGCACATTTCAATACGTTTTCATGTTTATATATATTTTTTAATACTTCAAAATTTTATCAGTAAGATTTCAGAAACTGCTTGTTAAAATGGTAAACAGAGTCCAGTGCATTCTATCAGTATTTACGTTTGCGAATTCCAAGTAAAATTTCTTGGGATACATTTTAAAGTTAGAATTAATTGAAAACTTTCGTTTCGTCTTGAAGATGCTTGAAGTTATGGGTTGGATTATTTCTCACCTTCTAAAACCAATGCTAAACCGTATTTGAAAATCATAATGGTTAGTAAACTCACGTCTGTTGGTCACTGATTATAAGATCAGCAGAATGTCAGGTCGTATTTGGTAAATTTATCTTCTATTAACTCACAAATAAGTACCAGAGGGACTGTTATTGGAATTGAATCAGACCAAACTATTGTTGCATCACGGTATTAGTTAAGATCTGTAAAATAGTTAACATATATACCAAAATAGCTATCCGCCTATTAGGTCTGATGTTTGGAGTGTAGAATCAGAATCTAATCTTTCATATACTTATCGCCTTGTTAACACAGTAAACCTGTATACTTTTCTAGCGTTTTAGACTTATTTGTATTCACTTCATTCAACTTTACTCTTAGGTTGTTGCTAAAGTGAATTGAACGTATTTTGAATGCCGAAATGTTTAATCAAACTGAACTAAACTATTCTTGCTTGACACAACAAAACTATTCTACTGTATTTAGTTTGAAGACGGAAGAATAACCGAGAAGTGTTACCATAGATAAAAGGAGTAAATATTAAAACCTAAGAACGAATCCCAACTGATACAAAGTAACTTACTGGCTGATGAAGAAATAAAAGCCGAGAGCATAAATGGAAACTTGGTGAGTGGTAGATCGAGAAAAAGGAGCCACTTCTCATTTCAGAACACGATCTGTAAACAAAAAGTCGTCAAGAATCCCATTACTGCGTAACCTTCCGCGAGTTGTCTGTTTTCAAACCGAATCGACGACAACTTTGTTGTACCGGGCTTACTGTTAGGATTTAAGTGTATGTTTTAGTATATTTTTGTCAGGAAACGGTTTTGTTAAATTTGAAAACTAGTAGATCTACAATTACTTGTGTTTCACTGTACACTGTTCACAGCACCCGTGGCCCATGCTAATGGTTACACATACATTTTAAATCTAATTACTGCAAAATTGATACCACCAAAAATATCTGCAAATTTCGTACACTGGTCGACAACAACACACACAACACTCTGCCGTTTTAGTATAAGGGCTACCTAAAACCAATTAATTACCAATAACTAAAAAGAGAGAAAATGATGAACAAAGTTAAGAGTTTGTTTCTGTACCAGGTTTGGTAGTAATACATCGCGCTTCGTGAAGCCTGGGAAGTGAGACAGGCCTTATATCAATTAGATTTTATCTTAAGTCTAGAAATTCAAGTACATAGTAAGTTTACAAAATAAGTCTCTAAAACGTGTATGATATAAACCTAAGAAAATGTATGTACCTCCGAGTACTTCTATTGTTTATTTTGATCGTTAGTCTGTCATCAACCATCGTTTTTTGTACAATTATTTGACCTTTGGAATTAATTTTGTCAGTTTAATCATAGATAAAAGGAGTATAAACTATGGTTTAATGCATTGTTAACAAATGCATTTAGTTCAGACTAAAAAGTATGACATTCTGAACTACCGTAGTGCACCTTATGTAACCCATTGTAGCACGGGTACATCAGCTGGTTCTAGGAGAAAAAATAAATATTTAGATCTGTTTTTATTTTTTATTTTTAGTGTTATTAAATTTAAAAAGCCAACAATACAGATATTCAGATTAGTACACTAAAAAAATATACAAACATATTGCACACAAATAAATAAATAAATTAAATTAATTGATAAGTAAATTCGTAAGCAAATTTATACGTAGTTGGATTCTTTGATGCTAGCATGTCTCCTATTGCAACTAAACGTCGATTTTCCTTTTAGACATTTGATAATACCATCGACAAAAGAAGAAAAATATTGCTATACTTGTCAATGTGACAGTCCTGTAGTTTGAGAGCCCTGGGGCCCATTTCATAATAAGCTACCTACAAGTTACAACTTGTAACTTGCAATTTCCATTAGATTTGCATTGGGCGATCAGCTGATTTACTAATAATTAGTTTGTTTATTATGAAATGGGCCCCTGAAGGCATGATATTGAGTTTAATATCAAGCTGACGATCACAGATGTTTGATCTATTACACAAGATTCACTAACCTGACTGTAATCAAAACTCATCAAGGGATGATTATTTGTCGTGTAGCAATAATGGAAAACATTAACAATCAATAGCTAACGATAATCCAAAAGTATGGCGAGAAAGATTAAGAAACTATCGCTCTTTATGGGGTATGGGGTAAAATTATTGTACAATCAAAAATTACTTTGGGAAGAAAAGGCAAATTAGACTTAGAAAGATATATCCAAAAGAATTTATCCAATGTTTTCAATGCGTTGTACCACAGACAACCTTAATAAACCTTGGTTTATACTTATTCCACGCGTAGAACAAGAAACTTAACCCGTTGTAATTTGAACAAAACCACTTTTATACAAATTTAATGTGGCAATTAAAAGTAATTTGAAGGTAGTGAGAAATGTTTTAATAATAATCAAATACTGAGAATGAATTTATAAAACAATTTTACGATTTTTTAAAGTCAAGGACAAACATTCGATACATACTACAGGGCAAACGTCAAAACCATTCTTGGCATACTCTATGTATTCATTCGCTGTTGTATTTATTTATTTTACGACAGTGCTACAAAACAAAGACATTTTTGAACATAAGTGGTCTAAGCTATATTTCAAATCTTGCTCATAGGCTTACATCAAAGAGTTATGAGTGACTTTTTGAAAATTATCGCACAGGATTATTTTTTTCCTACAGTTACCTAACAATGTACATGTTCTCTCGCTGATTTGAGAAAGCAAAGTGGCCAATTCGCTCATCAGTGAGACAATGTTAACATTGTCTCACTCTAATTACTTTGTCTCACTCCAGATTTTCAACGTGAAGGCACGAAAAAGTGAGCACGTAGCATGCAGGCAACGTCGTATGCGCGCGAAATACGTTGGCAGCACTGGCTGTAAATCAGCTGGTCAGCTATTGTACTGTGTTGTATTTGTCACTTCACGTTAAATGTTATATTAAAAGTTCACTTCTGTGTAAAAATAGGTTATGTTTCTTCACCAATTTATTTGTTTTATGGTAACTGTAGGAAAAGTATAATGTGCAACTCGAGTTCAAAGTACAATTGCCTCACTCGAGAAACCATTCCTCACTCGCCTACGGCTCGTGAGTAAGGATTTCTCTCGAGTGAGTCAATTGATCACTTTTCTCACTAGTTGCACAAATAACTATTTCATTTGCATTTCCAAAAAAATATAAAGTAATATAATTCATCCGTTACTCGGTGACTGCTAAACGCACAGCTGCCGCTACAGACGGTGACGTCATCGTTCAACAATATGCACAGACTTGTAGTTCCGAGTCTCGCCGTTGTAAACAAAGGGGCGCCATTGTCGCTAGTGTCGCGCGCCGGCCGGTGAGTTTATCAAAGGCAAAGCAAGCATTTCCGTCTGTTTTGTTTGATCTGACTTCATTCCGCGCAACCCTATCGTTCCGACCGCACACGTCAGGTCTGAGAATTTGTTGTTGTTCGCGTGTGTTTTCCTACGTGTGAATGTTTTTATTTAGTGAATACAGTGAGTTTTGATGTTGTTAAGTTATACTGTGTTAAATTGTAAGATTATAAGGTTGTATATCTAAAACAACTGCATGCTCGTTTTGTTTATTTTGGACGATTCAATTTTGTAATATGGTCTGACATTTTTACTCGTTTAGTTACTAGTTACTGTTTAATTAATGCACTGAACTAGTAGGGCTTCTGGTGAAAATGTAGTGTTAAGTTTAAAACACAGACTAGGCCTAGCCTACGTCATTTCCTTAAAAATGCTTAAGTTAACTACCTAACCTACAGATAGTTATTTCCGGTCAGAACAAAAATTTCATTTGTGAAATTAGGTGATTTGATGTTAGCAGAATAATCTATTAACTTGAAGGTTACTTTGCCAAGTCAACTGTGTGTGTAACTATTTGCATTGATGTTTTGAATTGAAACTAGTGTCGTTTTATTGAACGTGGTTTACATTTTTAATCCAGCCAGTTTTTTTTTTATTTTTTTCTCATATTCCCGGCTCGTAAAGAGATTAACATGATAGTTTAAATAATGAAAATACCTAATTGATGCAGCTCTAGGCTCTAACCGGAAGACCGAGAATTCATTTGCATTAACTGCTTTTCAGTATCTTTTTTTCTGCTTTTGTTTAGCCTCACGTTTTTTGCACGAAGGATGATGGATTGAGGTTATTTAGTACTGCCCTAGTCTTGTTATATTGAGTTAGCCGTGGAAAATGTCTACAAACTCTTTAAAACAAAGTAACTAAACTCAATCACCACCAACAATAACTTCAAACGTATATTTCATCTAAATTAGTTACGTTTACGTTTATTTCTGAACAGATTTTAATTAGCCTACCATACTTTTAGAATAATTGATACCTTTAGAATTATTGATACCTTTAGAATTGACCAGAATGCACCAATGCAACAATGTATTTGAAAACTTAGACGCTCTTTACTTGAGCCAATACCCCAATTTAACAACTTTTGCTAGATACAACTTGCAATTTGAAGTTCGTACTACGTCGATCATTAAATGACCTTGAACATCTACAATTCTGTTATCGTTATCATTCCAATCTACGGTACGTTAACTGTTAACCTACGGCTGTTTTTAAAAGTAGTCATTTCAGTTCAGTTCTTAAGAATTGAAAGATTCATTGTTTACTTAAGTACTTAACAGCATTGTTGTTTAACTTGCATGGGTTTTGTTTAGTAGGTACTTAACCGAAACTAGGGAAATGCGTAAAATACCCTGGCCATAGCAAACCTGCAGACTAAGAAAATTTCCATTTGCCTGATTCTGATTTTACTTTCGCTTAAATATATTTAAATAGCATTATAGTTTAATGAGTAGCCTACCTAGGTTTGCTTCTACAGTGAGAGTAGTAAAGTGTGTTTTGAGTTAAGTTTCAATAGCTTAGTATAAAATAAACGGATTTGCCAAGTTTGGTCAAGATATATCCATAAACAAGCAAACAACCGAACTCTTATAACAGTTTTTTAAAAGTTATTCTCCATAAGAATAACATGGGGTTTTATATCGGAGAGGAATTATAAAACATTGTATGTTTTAAGGGGGCGAAATGAGAAAATCCCTTAAACCCCCCTCAGAACCCCGGGTTCCCATGATCGGTTCATGCTGGTTCGTAAACTCGTTCAAATAGTGGGTTTACACGTTTGTACCAAATTTTATCATTATCGGATGATTTTTAGTGTTTTTGGCTTCTGGGGAGATCAAAACGAAAAAGTAAATCGGGCCCGGGTCCAGGTCTTCTACCATGATACCTACGGTAAAAGATTATCCCTAGATGGGAAATTCTCCAAAATGCGACTATTGGTGTGAGCACCGATTGGCCGATATGGTATCATGGTGTTTAGGTTATAAATCATATGTGCACAAGGAGAGGGACGGAAGTGTCGTCTCGGCTGACCTCTTTGTTGTTTGGCAGTTAAAGAACGACGGGACGCCGAACACGGTCACGCGTGTAGGACCATCGGCAATGAATACACAAACTATAGTTTGTGTATTCATTGCCATCGGGCCCTGAACAGGGTTGTATTATTATAATAACAACTCAACAACAACGGTGTTGTTATCAACCATCATATTTGATCGTTGGTTGTTATACAGGGTGAGTTTTAATTGTCCCCCCCCTAACTTTTTTCTACATTTTTTCAAATATCAATCCCAGACCACTTCCAAACATTGTTGGGTAGTAAGTACTTCATTTTGACAAGGTGGTCATTTCCGGCCTCCATCTTGGATCCGCCATATTGGATGCAAAATTTTTTTTTTTCAAATGTAAAGGTGGGGTTGTGACCCGTTAATTCGAACTAAATTTTTACCCTGATTACAATGCCGCAAACCGTTTTTAAAAATCTTGATTCATTCTAAAGTTATGAGGGCTTTTTAAAACTTGATTTTTAGCCCATTTTTACATTATGCATTTATAAACTAAGACCATAATCCCAAAATAGTGCTAGATAAAGATAAGTATACACTACCAGTAATTGTCGACCTATTTTCACTTGGTTATGACTGATGTATTTTTTTCGGCCGCCATCTTGGATCCGCCATTTTGAAATGTGATAAATTATTTTAAATATGAAGGGGGTGTTGTGACCCATCATTTCGAACTACTTTTTTAAGCTGAACTTAATTCCATGATCCGTTTTTCATATTCATTTTTTGATTTTGAAATATTGACATTTTTAACAAAAAAATTGCAATATTTCATAAATAAAACTTGATAACAAAAAATGGATTGCGGCATTGAGTTTAGCTTAAAAAAGTAGTTCAAAGTGATGGGTCACAACACCCCCTTCATACAGTATTTAAAATAATTTATCACATTTCAAAATGGCAGATCCAAGATGGCGGCCGAAAAAAATACATCAGTCATAACCAAGTGAAAATAGGTCTATAATTACTGGTAGTGTATACTTATCTTTATCTAGCACTATTTTGAGATTATGGTCTTAGTTTATAAATGCATAATGTTAAAATGGGCTAAAAATCAAGTTTTAAAAAGCCCTCATAACTTTAGAATGAATCAAGATTTTTAAAAACGGTTTGCGGCATTGTAATCAGGGTAAAAATTTAGTTCGAAATAACGGGTCACAACCCCACCTTTACATTTGAAAAAAATATTTTGCATCCAATATGGCGGATCCAAGATGGCGGCCGGAAATGACCACCTTGTCAAAATGAAGTACTTACTACCCAACAATGTTTGAAAGTGGTCTGGGATTGATATTTGAAAAAATGTAGAAAAAAGTTAGGGGGGGGGGGACAATTAAAACTCACCCTGTATATCTATGACCCTGAATCAACCATCGACCTACAAATGACAACTTTCGTTCCGATGTTCATCTGAGCATCAGGTGAACTTTATCGCTTTGTTGACCTTTGGGTGACAGGAAATCATCTGGACGAGTATAACTATCGTCCAAAAATATGGCGAAATAGTTTTATTAACAAACATAAAATATCGCTATAATTTTTTAACAATGAATACTATTTTATTTATAACTAGCAGAGTACCCGTCCTTCGTACGGGGTTGGCATATAAGTATCAAATGCTTATAGCAGTTATGAGTGAGGACATGGTTTAAGAAATTTCGGTTCTTTTTGAAGTTCGTTCGCTACGCTCACTCACCTTTAGGTTGGAGCTCGTTCGCTGCGCTCACTTTCCTTCAGGTTAGCTCGTTCGCTACGCTCACTTGCCTTCAGGTTAGCTCGTTCGCTACGCTCACTCGCCTCCAGGTTGAAGTTTGTTCGCTACGCTCACTCACCTTTTGCTGTTGTCATAAATGTAAAAGAAATAATAGTGCTAGTGCTGCACCCTGTTGGTAATCCTTGTAACTTTTATTGCTATTGAACATCATAGAACAGAACCAACTTGTTTAATTGAAACAGCTGTTAAGATTCATTAATTCCATTTCTCATAAGGTTAACATGGGAAACTCCAGAGCCACTGGGGCGGAGCCCCGAAGGATTTTTGGGATAAAAATATGCCTATATGTTAATCGGGAATGTGAGCTATCATCATGCCAAATTTCAGCCCGATCCGACCAGTAGTTTTTGAGATTAGCTCATACAAACACACACACAGACACCACCTCTTCTTTATAATAGTATAGATTTTGTCAGTTTTTCTATTTATGTTTTCCATCATGTAATGACGTTTGTTCACAGTTTATATATTGTTTCTGAAAGTTACAACACACACTCATGACTTCACAATTGTCAGGGCTGGTATTCAACTAACTATGAAAAATCGCGCGGCGACCGAAAATCAATCGCTCTTAAGCAAAACGGCCGCCGTAGCGATTGTAGCTGAGCTATAATCGCTGTGCGACTATCGCTACAGTCGCTCCAAGCAAAATATGCCTTTAAACCGAAGAATATGGCGAAGCTTTATCGTTCATCCCGTATTTATAGTGATAAAATAAGTAGTTTACATAACTGTTCTAATCAATATTGATCTTCTCCAATTAAGTTTTCTCCCTTTAAAACTGTTAGATAATTCAGTGTAACATTAGGTGAACTACTCTTCTTTGGAAATAACTAAATAGGCCTAGGTTAACACGATTTGTAAGGACCCTTTTTATTTATTTATTCCTCTCTCAACGGTTACACCATTTTACAACAAAATACATGGGTATGTTTGTTTCTTATCACAAAAGTGCTAATTTAGCAACAATAAATTAAGCAATATAATAGTATTGTGACCGATCGACCCTATTAGTGGATTATATTGAGTAGGCTACGATGAGCGATGACATATTTCTTGCACTGAACGGTTGATCAGAGTGAGAGCATTGAATAGAGCTCGGAACTTCGGTCCTTGGAGTGCTGGGTTCAAATCCCACCAATCACCGATTCATTTTAATTTAAGTATGGTAATACCGTGACTCCCTCTAATACTAACCTGAAGTAGGTAGGCCTAATGTGGAAAACAAATGCCTAATCAAAAATATATATGCCTAAAGTATCATTGACTGGCCTTTGCAATTT